GAATTTTACTTAAGCTTGGTGATTGCACTGTTATGTCCTTTTCCTTTTATACACCACGTTGATGGTGTCACTGCTCATGTGGCAGAGCCCACTCCCTTTCTAAAGAATCAGGCGGTCACATGAGTAGAAATCTTAGTTTCCTAAATGAGTGAGTGGTGGTTTTCACAGATCCTGTCAACTCCAAATCTCCAAGTATCAGTATGGCTAGCCCACTTAAAGCCACTCTATTGACCAAAATTATCTCACGGACTTGATGATATGTACCTTGTGGTATAAAGTATCAGACATAGTGTGAGAATCCAAAATGTAAGGTAACTACAAATAAAATTTATGGACTGTATTTTAGGTAGCTAGAAGAATTTTAACTATGGAAATGATGTGTTTGAAGAAATGATTATATAGAGTAAGTACGCAGTACATAAATGTATCAAAGAGTTACATGATACCTAGTTAGTATGTCAGATTCATTTATCTATATCAGTTTAAAGTTAGAATAAATACTTTACTCTTTTATATTACCTCCTGATATCCGAAAACTGAGCCGCATTCTCCTTTTCCTACTTTCTAGTCTCCGTTTATAATCATATATCACATGCATTGTATTTTATTTATTTATTCCACTTTTTCAATATATTTTTTCAATATTTTTATTTTTTTATTGAGCTATATATTTTTCTCCGCTCCCTTCCCTTCCTCCTTCTTCTACGGTATCCCATGACTCCCATACTCCAATTTACTCAGGAGATCTTGTCTTTTTCTACTTTCAATGTAGATTAGATCAATGGATGTCTCTCTTAGAGTCCTTTTTGCTGTCTAGGTTCTGGTGTTGTGAATTGTAAGCGATTTTTTTCTTTGCTTTATTTTAAAAACCATTTATGAGTGAGTATATATATATATATATTAAATTTATTTATTTATTATGTATACAACATTCCTTCCATGTATGCTTACATGCCCAGAAGAGCGCACCAGATCTCATTATAGATGGCTGTAATCAACCATGTGGTTGCTGGGAATTAAACTCAGGACCTCTGGAAGAGTAGTCAGTGCTCTTAACCTCTGAGCCATCTCTCCAGCCCCTATATTATATATATTATATATTATATTTGTCTTTCTGTGTCTGGGTTATATCACTCAATATGATTTTATACAATAGATAAGTAAAAATTCAGTAATTCTTATTTTACCTGTTCAACTTGCAATGATTAGGGTAATATTTGACATACCAAATGATTAGAATGAATAGATGATTTGGTTGAATGATTGAATGACTCAAACTCTATAATAGTCCCTCTCATTCATACCATAGAGCTGTACTTATTCATGGATTTGATATATGAACACAAAAATACTTGAATATTTAATTCACATTTTTAAATGATATTTCTTTTTTTCCAAGTCTTTAACCAAATATTTAACTACATATTTCAAATGGCTCTTCAATTCATGGCTGAGGTCCATGATTGCATTTTGGTAGATCTTAAAGAACATTCCAATATTCTCACCTTAAAAATAGCTACCTAACATAATTTTAAATATGTTCTTAGTTAATGTTTGAATGTTTTGTGTGTGAATTATACACGTAGTGTTTGTGGGTGCACGTGTGTGTGTGTGTGTGTGTGTGTGTGTGTGTGCACGCACATACAAGCTCGACTTAGGTATCTTCATAAGTCACATTTCACATTATTTTGAGACAAATCTCTTACTGAATTTGGAGTTAGATGATTCAGCTAGACTCTCTGGACAACAAGTTCCAGGCTTCTATTTCCTTCCTCTCAGCACTGGAAGTTGCAGAACAGCTGCCACAATGGGCTTTTACATGGACATTCAGGATCCAAATTCAGCGCATTGTGTTTGTGCAACAAGCGCTTTACTGAGAGTCATTTCCCTACTTCAAATTTATATATCTTAATTCATCTGTTAACATAAGAAAGATTAGGATTTTATTTTGCAAGAAAGTTGCAATATGAAACTAAATGTCCACTATTTCTTAACAGGATACAGTAAGTTAATACATGTTTTTAAAGCTATTTCACAAAGAATATATATAAATATATAAATATTTTCCCAGATATTTATAACTGGCAGAGTATGTTTTTGTATCATAGACATGAAGAAAGAAGGTATCTTTGGTTGGTTAGATAGAATGTCTCCTAACCTTTCACACCTACATAAAATGGAGATTATAATAAGTGAGCTTTAGAACATTTTGTATATCTCAAAGTGAGAAAATATCTGGCAATGAAAATATAGGAGAGCCTACTGTTTCTTGAAATTTTTTATGTTATAATCACTTTCAAGTCTTTATTTTGTGACAAAGGCAGAAAATGTTTTATAGAAATAGCAAAACTCAAGATGTTGGAGTGTATTTTATATGTGAGATCTGAATTACATCCTGTTTCAGAATTGTGTGACTGGAAAATACACTGCATTTCACAAGGTTTTAATTGATACAGACAGGAAGAGAATTGCTTCTCTTTTCAAGTTTCAATTTGTGGGAGATTTCCTTACATTACAGACCAAAATGTTTGTCACTTGCAAACTGCTTCAATCATGTTTTCTGAAAGCCATATCTGCATTCATGAGCAGAGGAAAATTTTTTTGCCCCCAAGTCATAACATGGGGCAACATAAGTCATTTCAAAGGACAAGGTTTGTTAAGTGCACACTGATGGTACCTTTAGTGTCCTGCTTTTGAACCCCCCAAAAAAAAGCCACTTCTCCCTCAGCCACCCATTGCATCAGCCGGGAAGGCGGGTGCAGTGAACACATTGCTCTAAGTTAATTAGAGAGGACGTGGAGGGAAAGTGTGTGGTTTACAACACAAAATCGCAGTTCTGCCTCGCGCCAGTGGTTCCCCTTGTTTAACAGCCAGCTTCCAGCAGCTGGACCTGTTTGGTTTCCACAACTTTTAGAGCAAAGTAAAGGATTCCGAGATTCTCCCAGGCTGTGCACCATCTGTGATCAGGCCACATTTTCCTCTTGACCTCCTTCAAATATTACCCTCGAGCTGGAGGTTTCTATACTAGGATGATACTGATTTAGCTTAAATAGCTCTGGTTATTAATAACCCGTCCTACATCATCCAATTCTGTATAAAATCAACTAGTCCATCGGGAAGCTATTTCTCACTAAAGCTCCTAAATTCATGCTTGAGTATGCCTGTGCCTGGGATGCTATGCACTTTGGTCATGTTTATGTAATACAAGTTCTTGGTACAATCTGCCTCTGGATAACTATTTTGATGAATGCTACATTTCAGAGTTTCCTCTCAATCTCAAAGTTTTGTATTGCCTAACTCTGCTTGTAAATTTCTATTGACTAACCCTCTACAAGTATATGAACAATGAAGTCTTTCATACTGTTTCTAGAAAGTTCAACGAGAAATTTTCTTCTGTAATTTTGAATGAAGAAAAATAGCTTAGAGAAAGGAATGGATTTCTTACTTCTATCACTTCAATCCTCTCTTTGTTATAGAAATATAAGTATGTTCCACATAGGCTTACATTGTTCTACTTACCACAACAAAAGGTAGCCCAAAATCCCTCGAAGAGCAGGAAATTTCACAAGTGCAATCCTACTGTTTTCTTAGGTTGTCATATATAATGTAACAATGCTAATATCTAAGCTAGCTTCATGGCTCTTAACTGTGAGGATACTGTTTATCATTACTGGACTAAAGAACAGACTCAATATTCACTTTTCAATAACTATATTCCCTCTCTGGCTTTCCCATATGTCTTTCTGGCTTATTATTATTATCATCATCATTATTTACCCATAATCTCACCCCTTGTGTGATCTTTTTTCAAATGTGATTACTATTCTCAGTATTAGACCTAGTATTAGAAGAGTTTTCATCACTGGATCTTTGATTTCATAGATATTCTTACTCACTAATGATTTTTTTTAAAAAATACACAGATGGGTACTGAAGAGAATAGTTCTAATTCCTACTCAATGGTTTATTAAAAGAAAAATTGAAAATATTAAGAAATTTGCTTATGCCATGTTCTTTAACTTTGTTCTGAACTCAAGTTGGAGTTATTGAAATATTTATTGCAAATTTATCTATTTATTTATGTTTCAATGTGAGCACGTATTCATGAATGTGTGTGTGTGTGTGTGTGTGTGTGTGTGTGTGTGTGTATTCCATCGGTAATCCATGTTTAAGACAAACAACAACTTTCAGGAATCAGTTCTCTCTTTGAACCATGTTGGCCCCAGAGATCAAACTCAGGCTATCAGATGTGAGGGATGGTGCCTTTACATGGTGACACATCTTGTTGGCTCTTATAGAGATATTTTAAAGAGTAAAACAAAAGTGAAATAAGAGGCTTTTAAAATGAGGGATGCTACTTTTCTAGGATAGTAAGATCATTGCATAAAGAGTTGCATAGTGCCAAATCCAGAGAGTATTATAAAAAATTATACATAGAACATAGTAGAGGCAATGCAGTTTAAGATGGTGGTAATACTATGACTATAAAAGCTTAAGTCTATAATAGGAAAAGATAGTGGAAGAAAAGTAATATTGCCTTTTCTGAATGTGTTTAAGTGAGACTCAAGAATTCACCAACACAAATTGGCATTTGGTATTTTTTTTTTCTTTTTGGAGGGTTGGGGTAATGAGTGTGGTGGAAACAGGAAGTTGGTGTGATTTGGGTTCATTGTATGAAATTCCCAAACAATCAATAAAAAATATTACGTTGGGAAAAAGAGACATTTTACAAAAATTAAAATGTGTTTTTATGTTGCACATAAGTGCATGTCCTGAATTTCAGTCCCTATAGTTTTCATTAATATTGTGACTGAAGAAACTAAAAAGGAAGCTCATTCATGCTTGGCATCTTAAAACCCAGTTCATTTACACTTGCCATCATCAAACTTTGACCACAGGTTTTCTAAAATTATTGCTTGACATTTATTGGCAATTTCAGAGAAAAATGTCTTATCCCAGAATGATTTCATAAAAACTCTAACATCTCTTTAAATATCTAGACATCCCAATGGGATCCAGAATGATAGTACAATGTGGCCTGTCTTCACAAGTACCGAACAAAAATACCTAACTCTGAACACAGAGAAACCAAGAATAAACTCTAAGCTCCGTGCTCCACAATGCCGATTTTGGAAACATTTTTTTCCTAAAGTCTTGGAAATGACAGGTATGTGTTTTTTTGTTTTAATTTGCTTATTTAGTAGATTGATGGTGGGTTGTGCAAAATTAGGGGAAAATGGAATATTGAGTGTTGAAAAAGTCTTTACTTGATCTAGCTTGAATGCTAAAATGGGGTGTAAGTGACAGTTTTCTAAATAGAGAGAAAGAAAGTTGTCTGGTTGGATGATCAGGGAAGAGGCAGGGACCTGAGAGGGAATGAAGGTGATAAACTTTTGTCCAAATATGCTGTATGAAAAAATGTTTACAAAAATTAAGGCAAGATAACCTGTAAGGTGATTAATGTGCAAACAGGAGGATGTGCATTTTGTTCCCAGCACCACAAAGTATCTGAGTTTGTGGTCATGGTACATATTTGTAAATGCAGTGCTGGGAGGCCAGGAAAAAAGGACTCCTTGGGAATTCTATTATAGTCAGTGACCTCCAGGTTCAGTGAAAGAAGCTTTCTCAAAAAGTATGGAGTTTTCTCACATAAAAAAAAAATACACATACACAAAGAAAATATGTATTCCTTCTCAACTGTGGTTAAAATTAAATGTGAGATAATTGTTGCCTTATTTATCTAGGTAGAATGACTAATTTTAATCTTGGAAATATTTAGCATTTATATCTCTAAGATACTTTATTAACTAGGATTATTTTCAGCACAGTTCATTAAAGTTGTCTCCAGAAGTTAATATTTTTTGCTTTTATTATTATTAAATATCAAAGATTGCTAGTAGAGTACCAACCTACTTCCACAGTGCATATTAATTCTTTATGATTAAAGTTTAATATTTTGTTGAATTTGCAACCCTCTCATATTATCAAGAATTTTCTGTTTCAACTCATTTTAATTTAGACTTTCCATGTGCATCTACAGAAAACTTATTAAGGAAAAATGATGGCAACATTGTCAATTTTATTTTTTAATTATTAAATTTTATTTGACCATCTAAAGATATTTTCTTTGGTGAGAAGTATCATATTCATGATCAAACTTGAAAATGTGTGGAATTGTTATCTAATGTTAGTTTAATAATCATGTACTATTTGTTCATAATTTAAATGTTTTATTTTTATTAAAATAAAATTTCAATGACCCATCATATGACAGGTCATTTATAGAAAACTCATTGCCATAGTGTGTGTTTGAAATAAAAAAATAATGCATATTGTTGATTCCTTTTTCAGAGAATTTGGGTTAGTTTAAAAAAAATAAGCATCTCAGCTAAGAGTCAGGATGGTTAATATGCCCTTTGATTATCGACATTGATCGCCAAACTTGTAATTGTGTACTTTATCTGTTTGAAAGAGCTTAATGATCTATCTGTGCTCTGAGTAAGACTAAATGTTCTATGACATAATATATATCCAGAGCGGAGTCTCTGTGTCTCTTGGCAGAGCAACAGTGCTGTCCTTGTGTTCTCTGGGTGTGAGGAACAATGAGGTAACTCACATGATCTGCCAAGAAACCCAAACAGATACCACTGAACATACCACAAACCCCAGATTCTGGTCTCTGGAAGAGATCAACTTAAAGGAGAGGGTGAGGTTCTACAGGGAAGAATTATTAATGAGTGTCTGAGTAAGTAAATGTAAGTGATTTGATTCTTTAGTTGTTGATGTTCCATGACTAAAGTACCAGCGATTTTGAAAGTAGGATGCAAAAAGATCTATTTGAAAATTTTTCCTCTAATAAAACTTTAGTTTAGGACTGCTACTGCTTCTGAAAGCAGTGAGCATCTCTTAAACTTAAAAAGAAAAGTTTCTAGAACACATTAATTTTCTTTGGATTAAATTTAGTGTGTCTTGAAATATAATTTCTTATTTGTTAGATTTCTAGTGTGTCTGAATATTCCTCCAAATGAGTTCAAATGTAATATATTTTCTAGGTGTTTGAAGAGATGACTCACTGGGTAAACAACTCATTGAATAAGCACAGAGACCTGAGCTTGAAATCTTAGCACTAACTTTAACCCCCAACACACACCAGAATATATCTTTTTTTCTATGACCCACCTTCAGTAATACCCAAATAATAATCCACAACCGTGCATCCATCCATGATCACGCGTGCTCACACGCACACACACACACACACACACACACACACACACACACACATCACTCCACACATGCATAGAGAAACAAAGACACTGAGAGAGTCAGAGACAGCAAATTTTATAATTATGCTGACCTGCCCTGGGTACACCATCCCTTTAAGAGATAAGCCCTGCCCACTTCCAATCTTCTCCTTTCTTCCTGAGGCAAACTGGTCTTCACTTTCCTCCCCCCCTCTCTCTTTCTCCCCCCAGTTCTTCTTTTGAAGAGGCACCCTTTGCCTCCCTTGTCCCCCCTCCTCTTCCCTCTCGTTCTGTCTCTTCTCTCTTTTTCTATTTCTTACCGCCATGTCTCCCTACCTTCCCATATCCTCCCAATACCCACTAAATAAACTCTCCATACCCAAGCTCTCTCTGCAAGGCCACCTGCCAGGGTCATATATGCCATAAATCATAACAGAGAAAAAATAATATGTATCTGCACAGATATTTTAATGTTAAAGGCAAATAAATTATATCATTTGGAGGACAATGTATTCATTTAAAATTGTCACAATAGTCTGAGTTTTATAAATAGTTAATGTTAGGAAGATTTCTAAAATATATAAGCAAACAATACCTTACATTTTTCAGGTATTAAAATTTGTATGTTTTGTTGAGAGGTGGTAATACACGCCTTTAATCCCAGCACTTGTGGGGCAGAGGCAGGTGAATCTCTATGAGTTCAAGGCCAGCCTGGTCTCCAAGAGCTAGTTTCAGGACACAACCCAAAGTTACAGAGAAACCCTGTCTCGATAAACAAAAACAAACAAACATTGTAAGTTTTATCTTTAAGGTTTCAAATATAATATTTTAAGGTTTGGACTGAAGTTATTTTTTCCCAAATGTAGATCTACAAAGAAAAGAAACTTTCAAAGAATTACTATTGACTGCCTTTCTTGAAACAAGAAATGCTTACTTCACTTCAAATGAAAAAGCAATGCGCTTTCTAAGTGCCACTTCAGTTACAGTTTACATTAGAGCAATAAATGTTCTCAAATTCAATGATTCTTAAGACTCGTTTAAACACATGGCTTCCAGCACTTCACTTCCGGGCTATACTTCAGTCCATGCCTACTGTTATTGCATGCCCTGTAAGAAACAAAATGTCTCATGTTTGTATCAAATACTTTTCTGTTTGTATTTCTCTGAAAATATTATCATATAGGAAGTCATAGTTATTTTTAAAAGGAGACAGAAATTATCCATTCATTGTCATAAGTGATAGAAATATAGGATGAAGGTTAATAGAAAATATTTTAGCTTCATTTTATCTTACAAGGAAACACATTACACACAGCAATTTCTCGACTGATACTTGAGTCATCATGGAGCATTATTCTTGACCAATCTAAAGAAGACCCTCTATAAATTTAAGTGTTCTTGGGGTCTGTGGAGAAGACTGGCTGCTTAGTGTTTTGATTCCCTAAATCCATGTGAATACAATTAATCTTTGAAGGTGGAGACAGAGGATCCCTAGAGCAAGCAGGATATCCACACAGGTGGTATGAAAAGCATCATACAGACATGTATGAAAATAAAAAAATGCAAAAATGCTCAGATAGTCTATAACTTAGTTACTTCCAGAATCATTTACTGATAGTTCCAATTAGTTAGCAAGATTAATAATTGAAGATGAGATCATGGAAAGCTAACGTGGGGAATAATGCTACCATAGTTTCATTATCAAAATGAACTTTTTACTTAGACAAAATGTGTCTACTTACTTTTGAAAAGTAAGTAGGCAAAAATTAACTTTATGACTAACTTTGATCTTCCTGCCATAGACCATGGAGGCTTCTCAGTACTCAACCCCATTTTATTTTATTTTTTTAAATTTTGATTAATTTTTTAAAATTTCATTCATATTCCATTCACTGTTCCCCCACACACACATACACCCCTCCTCCTGCACCGGTCCCCACCTTTCCCCCAGCCCAAACCCCATCTACTCCTCCCAAAGGGTCATCAAAGTTTGGCTCATTAAGTTGGAGCAGGGACAAGCCCCTCCTCCACTGCGTTAAGGCTGGCCATAGCATCCCACCATAGGGAATGGGCTTCAACAAGCTAGCTCATGCACCAGGGATAGTTGTAACACACTTTTCAGAATATCACTTAACATTCTTGCTAAAAAGGCAATAGGATGTTTTCTTTGGTGGGTGGCAGGGCGGCAGCTAGCAAAATATAAATACATTTATAGAACCATTAAAGAAAAAAGAAGCCGTGAATTTGAAAAGTAGCAGGGAGGGACTTATGGGATCATTTGAAGGAAGCAAAAGGAATGGTGAAATTGTGTGGTTAATTATAACTAAAAAACTAAAAATAATTTCCCAAAAGAAACTTAACTTTCAAGACATTGATTAACACAAATATTATAAATTCCTTTTATTCAAAACAAAATTGACATCATCAATTATCTGCAAAATATTAAAAATTGGAAAGAGAAAAATAATCTCTAAATAACTAGTCGATTCAAGCAGATTGCTATGCTTGTGTGGTTTGCATTTAACAAAATCTTGTCCAATTTTGGGTAGTATAACCAGATGCGGAATAGAAATTTGATTTCCCTTCTTTTCATCTTCATCAACTAATATAACTGCGTATAGAGAGCATGCTCTGTTCCCTAGCCCTAGAAAAGGACTGTGCAATCCATGAAGCCCCTCATAAATATGACGCATGCTCACTCACAGTGAATTGGCAGAGGCACGTTCCAGGATCGTGGAAAGCTATTAAGAGCAGACACCTACACTGAATCCTAATAGGAAGGCATCCTGGACAGGGGAGCCGGATAACCAGGGACCTGGGACGACGTGTCCTCTGCACCGTGCTAAGAAATTTCAATTCTGTCTTAAGCACAGCTGCTTAGTAATTTCAAGTGGAGCTCTGATGGGTCCGGGTTGTTGATTCCTGGATGTATTAGCTCTCGCGGCACGCCAGGCTCTCCTGCTTCGCATTATGAAACACATCCACAACCGTCACTCCATTCATCAGGCTGCGCTGCTTTTGTTTGCCAGGTCCTCTCCAGAACATGCTAGCTTTGTTACTTTCATTTTATTTGCATGTTAATATATTTCATCTATTTTTATTTTTTAAAAGGCATTCCAAATATGTTTTTCTTTAGTATGAAAATATTTAATGTTAAATTGGCCTCTGACTGTTATTTTTTAGTTGAAGAAATGCCTGAAATTCTGCAATCGATTTTCTTCTTAATATGATCTATAATTAAAAAATATAGATAAAAATAATTATATTTTACATATTTCAATATAATCTCTTCTGGAAAAAATAACAAGAGCCGTTATTTTTATGTATATCGGTAAATTTTATCTTATTATTAATGAACATTAGACACTGATTACTTCTATAGTTGTTATTCATATCCATAACATATTTTTAAATTATATCACGTATCTGTGTATTTTTTTGCTTCTCAGTGTTTCTTTATTTTGCATACACTATTGAAAGTGACAGACTGAGGACAATGGATGAATACTCTTCGTTTCACCGTGGTTCATATGACAAATAAAACAAGTTTACCTTCCCACATCGACTTCTATTATAGGGCATCAGTGGAGGGGATCCTTACTATTTCTCTCTCCACAAAATTCTCGGGAAGGCTCTTCTTCATAAAAAGTCACCATTCCATGATAGGCTAAGATGCTTTTCACATCAAAATGTCCCAGTCATAAACTAGTGCCACTGTAGCAAGAATGAAGAAATTATATTTTTATATATGATTCTCTCTGTAAGATAAAATTCTGTCTAACAAATGGAAAGTATACATAGATATATTCTTATATTAAAGAAAAGTCTACTTCAATATTTAATGATATTTATCAACATTTACCGTAATTTTAATAGCAATTTTCTACTTTCTTTTTTACTTTTCTAAATGCTTGCAGTTTATCCTCTTAGCCATTTCATTTTTAAAGTTTCTTTTCCCTTTATCACAAATAAATGTATACATGTGGAATAATGATTAATGAATGGCATAATCATCAGATAAAATGACATATGACTCACGGACTACATGAAGGCCAATATTTTCTTGTTTTCTTTGTGTTTTACAAAGGAAATATTAAACTGCTTTCTTGTGGACAACACTGTAAATAACTGAACATCATATGGAATGAAAATTTATTTTAATGAATGTAAAAGTCTGTATGGAATGATAATTATGAAGTTCTCATTATATATTAGTAAATATTTACTTATATAAGTACTTTAACTGAAGATAATACCCCAGTGTCTATGTGACTAGATTTTGAATTTTGAAGTTTTTTCTACTGCTTAAAGAGTTCATTAATAGAAGAAATATCTACATGTCTTCTGGGAAAATAATGAAAGAACATATAATAATTTGACATGATACAATTCATGCCTTCACATTATTTTTATTTTATATACATTTTAGTTGTATTATTTAATATACTGCATAAAATTTACTAGAGGCTTTTCTAGTAGTAATAGAAGTTCATAATACATAATGAAAAATAAAACCTTGCTATGCTGTATACTTGCAGAAAATGTCATCTATAATTAGAATTATTTTTCAGGTAATGTAAACAGAGATTAAACTTCAGATTAATGTAATGAATTCTGTTTTACAGGAAATATTGATGAAACAGAGCAAGAGTGGAAAGCAGGATTCCATCGCTGGAGCAATTACATGATGGACTGGAAGAATCAATTTAACGATTACACTAGCAAGAAAGAGAATTGTATGGGTCTCTAATTAATAGATTTACCCTTTCTCGAATGTTCATTTTCCTGTAGATGAGAGCAAAAATACCAGCAGCTCTCTCCACACATACCAAGAATGCTATTAGACAGCAGCGAAACAAATGCCAGAGGAAAGTATTGATTCCTCGCGTCTTTCACTTAGTATTTTACTAACCTTTCCGAACCGAGTCACCGAAAAATTGATTTATTAATTTATAGAATTCAAACTTTGTGTATTAATACCACATGCACCTCTGATCTTGTTTTCCTGGATAACCTTATGGGTTTGCCTACAAGGAGCACACTCTTTTTATTAACTCCTCCATTTTCCGAACCACGTAGAAAAAAGTATCTTGAAAAACTGAGTCAGATTTTGAAACACTAGATATTATAGCTTATTTTAGTGTTTCCTATAATTTATTTATAAACTTAGTGTTAATATGGAATAGTAAAATAACAAAAAAATTGCTAGTAATATATACAGGAGCAAGAGAGAATAGAAAAATAAGAACCATAGTATCTGGGAAAGGTGATAGTGAAATAAAAGATGACAAGCACCAACTCAAGGAATTTCATGCACCATTGAAAAATTAAACCAACTTGCTGTCCTGCATCAGGAAACACGTTTCAGGCATCAGTTCCTGAAAATGACTTGGCATATGGAGTAGGTCCCATACAAGAAGTCCACAGCGAAAGAATACATTGTTTAAAAGTGAACCCTTTTCCTCCATGCTGTGCTTTGGGGCGGACCCCGAAATCGGTTTATAGGAACTCTTGGATATTGTGCCTTTAACAGATTCACAGATGAAACAAATGTTCGAGTTAAATTACTCATGAATTGAATGTATGTGAATCAAGACTCGACATCAGTCTAGTCCTCTCTTGGTTAATAATGAGGAACTGTTACTATAGAGTTAAAGTCATATAGCTGTCACCTAACTTAGGTGATCTTTTGATTCATTTCTCAAAATATGACAAATAAACATGTCTTAGATTATAAAAGAATAAGTGTGGCTAATCCACGCAATTTATTTTAATCAATTATTTATATGCTGAAAAATGATTTTAGTGGATTAAGGTTCAAATTTTGATTTATGAGAAGTAAAGCAATAAGACTCATCTTTTTAAAAAGTTCCCTTCTTATAATATCTAATTTTTGAAAAATAATATGCTGAACATTATAATGATGGGATAATTTAAAAAGTAAAGTAATTAAGTTCTTATCAATCTGAAAATTTCTTGGATGATTATTAATAAAATTTTAGCTGTGACACAACCCAATGCCTAATAAAAGACAATCTGCACATTGCTGAAGAAAACAACAAAATTAATAGTGAAATTTCATAGCATGGCTGTCAATACTGAACTCAACAACACCAGTTTAAAAAGCAGATTTGTAGGATGGAAAGGGCTTTGCCTAAGTAGCCTGAATGTCAACCATTATTTACTATCCTTTCACACTGATAAAGATAAAGAAAAGTTCATCAGCAGTTATAAAAATGCATACAAATGTGTCTTAGGGTTCTTTAAAGGAACAGAACAGATAGAATAAATACATATATTAGAAAGAAATTTATTTGAGTGGTTTAGCAGAAATATATTAGTAGTTCAATAATGGCTGTCTCTAACTGGAAAGGCCTAGAATATAGAAACTGTTCAATACACAGGGCCGAAAGTCTCAGCATTCCCACTCAGGTGCTGGAAGCCTCAAGAAATACTACAGTTTCTGGGCTTTTGTCTTCTTTGGAATCCCCAAAAGTGGGTTCTAATATTAGAGAAGGGATGTCACATTAACAGAATAGATTAAATTTACCTGCAAGAATTAGGCTAAGCAGGTAAAATGCAAAATTTCCTTCTTCCATGTCTTTTGATCTGAGCAGGCACCATAAGGTGTATAACATATTTAGGATGGGTCTCCCTGTTTCAAATAACCTGATCAAGAAAAATCACTCTCAGGTCTGTCCTGAAACATGGGAATAAGTTAATTTCAGCAACCGTGAAGATGACACCAAAATTAGGCATTACAAATCCATCCATCCATTGTCAGCCTGACATATAGCTAGATTTCCTCAAGCAAAGTTTAATTTCCAAATGAAAGCAATAATCAAGTCATAATTACACCTAACAATCTATAACTATCTCATGAAAAGCTGTAAATATATTATCTATTTTAGAATAGCTAGCAAAATCCCTTGAAGAATCCTTAGTCTTTTAGTGTCTTTCAACTTAAATATGACAATATTAATGTATAACACTTAACCAATGATATTATCTCGATTGATGTTACAGTGCATGCAAAAGATATAGAGGGAAGAAATCAAAAATATCTGTGTATACGTGCTAACATATTGTTAACATAATAAGACAGAAACTCATACCAATTTCAATCATTTCTACAAATGAATCTTGGCCAGTATTTATAACTACATTTCTCTACTACCCATTTCTTTTCCTCCACATTTAGTAAGCAGCTTATCTTTATGGGTTTCCTGGAAGTAATGTCAATTAAAAATCAGTATCCAATAGGCCATGCAAATCGGATTGTTTATTTTTCCTCAGTGCTTAGTTACTCTAGTAGAAGACAGAAGGCTAACAGTAAAACTCTTCAGTAAGCTAAGACAATCCTAACTCACGGGGATTTGGCCTTCCCTCATTCACGAAGTTCTAGGTTTTCTAACTGGCTCAAGTCTGAAAATTGGCATGTAGAAATTCCTTATTACAACAATCCAATTTATCCTTTCTTGTATTTGTTCTAGAGTTTTTCTGTTTACAGAGATGAAACAAACAGATAGGCTTCTATTTAATTTCTTCCTAGAAATACCATGTTTCACTAGACAGTACCAACGGTCCCTACGGGTCAGACCTTTGCACATATTGCTTTGTATGTGTGGCCCATTCCAATACCTATGCTTGTCTTGCCTTTGACAATTCAATGATGCCACCTGACCTATGCAAGTCAGTGGCCCAATTAAATCCATTACAATTAATTTATGCATTGAGCAGCAGCATCTTCAATGTTAAGATCTGACCTAAGGAAAAGAACAATGACAAGGCTCTCCAAATGTGTTGGAGCCCTCTCAGCATTTTCCATGCTACCCACTCATTGTTTTCTGTAGTTCAGGGCATGTATTCTTTGCTCTGCCACTGTAAAGGAATAGATATTTCCAAGTTTATCTTCTCTAGCATTCCAAATTATGTGTCCTAAAATTCCCATAATCAATAATAAGCTTTGTCAATATAGCAGGCCATTCAGTTTCTTTTAAGTAGAATATCATTTGATAAATACATCAGCCTACCAATCATACATACCTCTGCTACCCTTTTTCAATTGTGAAAACTTCCATAATAAACCTAGAATCATCATTCAGTGGGTGTATATCAATAATCTCAGCCTGATCCAGTTTTATGTTCCTTCTACCATGATCCTTAAGATCGTTAAGATCTATACCCAATCATGTTCCCTGGACCTCTACTTTCGTGAACTAGAAAGTTCAGTAAATTCTTTAGTAGGTTCATTGATCTCAAAGACCTCACTTCTAGGAGCTTTCTTAGTCTCCTTAAAGATCTACAGAAAATAATTAGTTGGCACCAAGGAACATCTGTATAGTCTTGCCTAGCATTTCCTTCAGGGCAGATAATTTTGAGTTCTTCGTACAAAGCAGGGTCAATTTTCTCATGCAAGGATGAAGAGAGGGATATGTTTGGGATGCATAGTCCACTAAGTGAGATAATATAGCGATTTGAATGAGAACACCCCTCCCCCAGGCACAGGCTCAGATATTGGAACTCATGATCCTCAGCTGGTGCTGTTGTTTGGGAGGTTTAAGAGGAACAACCTTGCTGGAGGAGATGTTTCACTCTGGATAGACTTTGAGATATATAACCTCATTATTCTTCTACTTCACCCTTTCTGTATCATGCTTGTGTTTGAAGATGTAAGCTGTAAGTTTCCTGTTACAAGCACCATGACTGCTGTTTGCTGCCATGTTTCCCACTGGGGATTGTTATCCCTCTGGAAATATAAGCCCAATAAATGCTTCCTTCTATAAGTTCCCTTGGTCATGTTATTTTATTATAGCAAGCGAAATGCATCATACAAATACACATATTCATTTATACAAAGAACCTCTTCCATCATAGAAGTAGAACAAAGATATTTGTTAAATGACTTTATATGGTAAAAAATAGAAAGTGAGAAAAAATAGTAGGATGATCACATGATATTCACCTAATTGATCACTACAATTAATTCAAAATGATGTAGTATATCTTATAAAAGAAATATATAGTCATACAGTTATAAAATATGAATATACACAGCTCCTATACATTAGAATCAGAAGTGGCAACAACAGCCTAGTTTGATGTTATTGAATGTTTTATTTATAAACTAATTTTGAGAGAATTGTTTGGAAAAACCTGATGATCTCATGTAGAAGTATTTGAATTTTCTCCCAGTTGTTTCTCAGTTTTGCCTCTCAGGGAATATTATCTTTCTCAATACCCTGGGAATCATCACTCTGAAAGGGATATATCCGAAGAGTGTTTCCATCTCTGCATACAAGAAAGAGTAAGCCAAAATTGGTCTTTGAAGAACAGAGATTATTTAGTAGATTATACAATCAGAGAAAAATGTCCTTGAGCAGTGCATATTCTATTGGTCATCCGTCTCCAGCCTTCTTTGGTGCCCTCCCACCGGATCACTTCAGCACTTTAAATCCTCTGAATTTTTTACTCCATGTCTGTTTTTTTTTTAAATTCAGTAGTATCAAAGAAATTCTGTTTTGCTCTTTAGCTTTAGCTCAAATTTTAGTTTAATGATAAACAAAATCCAACATTTTTAACAGGTCCCAGGTCCACACCAGCTTTTACCAATTTTCTATTATTATGTACTGGAAAAGAAAAAAATTGCTTGCAGCAGACATATTTCAGAAATTGTGATTCCTCTGATGAAGAGAGCAATAGTCTAATTTTTGAGTGAACTTTTCCAAATATCTTTCAGAACACAGTCAGATGATTTTACATTATTGTTAAAGCCAACACCCGTTTTAATTTTCAGTGCTTCTTAATAGTTTTTGAGCTTATGGCTTTCCTTTTCTTCTCCTCTGAATGAAATTCGAATTTTCATAATTATATGCTTTTCCGCATTGATTCCTGCTAACAAATGTCCTTCTACTTGGATTTCTTTTCCCTCTGCTCTTTTGTTGCTGTCCTTCTCCTCCTCCTTATTTTTTGTTGGTTATTTATATTGTTTTTTTTTCCTTTTTTCCTGATGTCAATCTAGGAATACCTGATAAGCTCCAGGTATATATTGAGATTTGTATTGTGAAGCCAGTTTTCTTAACTACAGCTAGTGATCCTCACTAGCAAGAATCTTCCTATGGGAACTGCATTTAATTAACACATATTTTTTTCTTAAATAGGATTTCCAGAAAACTGTTTCAGGATATTAAAAAGAGGACTTAGTGTTTTCTCCTTATGTCATTGGCCTTTGCCCCAGGCACTTTTTTTTTTTTCAGTTTTAGAGCAGCCATTCTTTCCAGTAGTTCTTTAACATTATTTTATTTTCTTTGGAAAATGTTCTTTTCTTTTGTTTTTTTATAACATTATTATGCAATAATTTGGAAAATGTCTCTTTTTAAGCAAATATAAAAGACATCTGATTACAAGTGCTGCTGGATTAATGCAACATACACACATTGAATATGCCTGGACTTCACAATTTAAGTCAAAAAATTTGTTACTTTGGAGAAGAGGTTTTGCTTTTGTTTTCACAGGAAATGAGACATGGTTTCTCTGTGTATCTTTGGCTGTCCTGGAACTCATTCTGTAGACCAGGCTGCTCTTGAGTTCATAGAGACCCATCTGCCTCTGCCTCCCAAGTGCATGCGCCACCCCCATTCCCAACTACTCTCTTTCTTTCTTTTAAGAACTTTTTCTATCCTATTTTCTATTCTCGTCCAAACCTAAATATATTGTTAAACATACTGTAAACTATTTAAAGATTTTTTTCTCATATTAATATGTCTTTACTGTATATTTCTCTTTTTCTCATCACATGAATCTTTAATTTGTTAATTGAAATGGCTAGGATTAAAGCCACATCTTTGGTGGCAGGATATGCCACATTCCTTGGCTTCCTGAGAGTCTAGCTAGCTTCATGGTGGAGGTACTCATGGGAGCCACTTTTTTCCCCCCAAAACTCTGTGGAGTTTCTAGGTTCTTGCCATCACCAAGAATCATGCCAGCTGCTACTCATAAACACTGCTTAAGTGTTTGGTAGCAAGGCCTCTTAAAACAGTTGCACAGGTTTTGTTGCTAATGCTGAGTCAGGAGCCTCTCTTAAAGGAGCCATGCCTAGCAAATTAAACCCACCCAAAACAATGCTGGTGTCACGAAGTAGGATTACTGCAAATACTGCAGTGCTTTTGTTTTTTAAAGAAATGGAAAATGTTTACTATAATAGGGACCTCAACACTGCCCTCCCGTATAGGCTGAATAAAACTGTTTTAAATCAGTGGTTTTAGACTGACTCCATTTAATTATGTCTTTATATGAACTTTACTCTGACAAATATATCTCCAAATATATCTCCATTATATTTTAAAATATTATTTACTGTTCATAATTTAGCAATGTTGCTTAGCTTTCAAGTCTGTGGGTTTGACTTTATTTTTTTGTTTGTTTGTTTCTGTGTTTCTTTTTCTGGTTTTGGTAAATGGGATCACAGGCTGTAATGGCTGACCTGTCCTATGCAAGACTGTAGGCTGTAATGGCTGACCTGTCCTATGCAAGACTGTAGGCCGATAATGAGAAACCAGAAGAAACTAAAGTATCAAGGAAGTTAAGACATGATTTTACATAAACAACATCTATAGTTTGGATTGAGAGATACCTCAAAAACTGCAGGTTTGTGTCTGTGAAATTAATAAATCTACAAAAGGAGGGAAAATACTTCCTAACACATTTTAATAACTTTATATAGAAGAATATTGTTTCGGTGTAGTAATCTTTATAAAAAAATTGTTGTTTAGTCAAATTCTCAGCTCAGTTGCTATGAAACTTCCAACAAACTCCAAAATAATGGAATATGTTCCATTCTATTTTTTCCCTGCCTTTCTATCCTTCTTCAACTAACACTTTGACTAAGGAGTTCATTTCTTTATATTACATTCACAAACACTGGCATATTAATTATAATGTGTCTTTGTTACTGAAAACTTAGGAGAGTCCAGTCTGGAATGACAGAAACTTCTGAGGACATCGAGGGCCACTCTTAGGTCTCTTAATCTTGTTAATAAATTAATAAAATGGTGGACTCAGAAGTGTTTCTAAGGGCAATTTTGTTAGAATCTAAAGGCGGGTGGGGGGGGGAGATAAACAAACAAAACCAAAGAAGACTATGAAGCTGCATAGTTTGGTCATTGTCCAGAGCAGGGAGAAAGAGAAAAAGAAGAGAAAAATAGTGTAAATAGTGCTATAACAGAAAGGAAGTATTTTCCCTCTTTTTGTAGATTTATTAATTTCACAGACACAAACCTGCAGTTTTTGAGGTATCTCTCAATCCAAATTATAGATGTTGTTTATGTAAAACAGAAAGGACGGGGCAACTTAGAAAAAAAAATGTTCAAAGTCAGCGTGGGAAAATATGTCCAGGCTTTTTTTTTTTTAAGTTGCATTTCTTTTGGTCTGAGAAATCAGAAAAACAGACAGATAATAACATTGCTAAGCCTAGGCTCAACAGAAACAAGTATTCTGGAAAGGAAAAGTAAATTATTTCATTAATGTATAGAAAATTATTACTCTAATTTCTTTACTGTTTGCTTAATGCGAACCAACCTTCCTGATGGGTGGTCCTTTAGCCAAGTCATGGGTTCCCTGCATCTGTTTAACTTTTAAGGGAGTAAATAATGGCATGGTTCTGCACTGAGGGAGGTTAAGTTCTTTGAACTGGAAGGAAGTAGCATTTCCTTAATGGACCTCCGCTGCTACCATTACATTTATATGCTTAGCAGGGTT